CCAATATAATTTTATCTATGACCGTATATCCATCTAATGTCAATTAAATTACAGCTTATCCCACAATAGCACTCCCCGCTAACACGGCTTACTGCACTATTATGAGAGGCTACACATAATTTAATTGTTGGTAGAAGGAAAGAAAAATTCAACAATTTGGTTTTCCTTTATAGCTTGATAATTATTCTTGAATAAGAATAAGGGATTTTATTTATTAAATCTTATTAGCTCATCGGAAGTTTTAGGTTATGATCGATTGTGATTCCTACAACTATGTTCTCTAGGTATGTGGAAACGCATATTGATCCTAAGAGAGACATCCGATCATCATCGTACTTAATCACAATTATTCATCTCATGAATTAATTAATAAATACGATTAATTGCAAATATAATTAACGGACTCCCTTCATTCATAAATCAATCAAATAAGAATGAAGTCCATTAATTATTTGCCATCTAATTTGTGTTCCATTAATTAAACTAATTTAACGATTAAATTAAATAATTAATCCAACACTATTCTTTGAATTCAAATTAAATTAATGGATCAATTATCTAATTGGGTTTAATTGATAAATAATTTCAAAAATTAAAAATCAATTAATTTTAATATTAATCCCAGAAAATCAATTTTTTTTTTGTGCTGACCGGACCGGTTCGGTCAGCTGAAAAGCAGCAGAAAAAAACGATTTTCTAAATTAAAAATTTTATATATTCTGAAATATTCAAAATATTTAATTAATATTAAACCACCCAATTTGATAACACCGAAAATTCAACAATTCAACAAATCGAAGCATGCTTTCGAAAACGATAAACACGTTGACAAATAAACGATTAACCCGTGGCTTTGATACCACTGTTGGGGATCGTGCATGTATACGCAGCGGAATTTAAAAATTTTATATCGAACTAGTTTCGATTACATGCATAAACTAATCACATAGTCAACGTACCTTAACGCTTCTGCCATACATATGGTAATTATCGATTTAATTGAAAAACACGTAAAACCGAAAATTACAAAACATGCTTGTTCATCATTCAATACAATCGAAACACGTAATCATATATTATTCATAATCATAAATTATAATTCATACAAACATGCTCGAATTAATTTACGAAAGTTTCGATTCATGTACCTCTTGTAGCGTGAGATTTCGACGAATCGAAACCTAGAACCAATCACGTACAAGCTGCAAATTACCAATCCTCGGGGCTGCAACTCACGGCTGGAATAAGCTGATCCAGCAAGCGACGAACGGCGGTGAATGGCAGCAGCAGCGGCGGCGCGTGAGCGGCGTAGCGGCGCGTGCGGCAGTGCTGCGGCGGTGCGTGGATTCGTCGGGGCAGCGGCTCCTCTCCAATTAGGTTTCACCTCGTATTTTCGACCCACTCGAACTACAGCACTAGATGTAAACGAGTTAGATAACAACAAGAATAAAACGAAGGAAACAAGAGAAGAAAACCGGCGGTTTTCCGGCGGTGGTCGGCGGTGGCGCGGCGGGGCAGCAACGGCCGAAGGGGAGAGCGGCTAGGGCTTGAGCGGCTAGGGTTTGGTGCAAAAATATGATCTCAAACTCTTGTTTGAGGTCTATTTATACTTAGGGTTTTCAACCCTAGTGGGTTTAAGTCATTGGGCTTGACCCACTGATGCATTAAGCCAATTCCCTCGTCGGCCTCGTTTCTAATATACGATCGTTCACAAAATTATAACAAAATTCTATTTGTGCGAGATCAAAGTCCTCGTCGATACGAGTGCCTCTTCGAAATTTCCAATTTCCAAAATTGGAAACTTCCACTTTAGTTGACTTGCTAAATCGGGAAACTTCCCAATTTAGAAAGTTTACTAAATTCCGCATTTCTCTCTTTCTCCACGTTTATTCCGATTCGCAATTCACAATTACTAATCTTGGATTCAATCATATCGACATCCAATCGTTCAAAGATTAACACATTAATCTATGCTTGTTGTTATCAAAGATCTATATTACACGAGAAGTGTGACCCTCAATGGTTCAGGTGTATGCTAGTCGTGGGCTCACAACTCTTTGTGATTCGAACAACACATTGTTCTTATACGAACTCCTCCCAAGAGTCCCGATTAGAGTAAAACTCATTTTACCTAATCCCCGATCAAATCGGTGCCCAACGAATCAAGATTGGCGTCTAGCAACTACGCATCATGATTCCCTAGATATAAATGAAGTACCTGCAAGAACCTTATGATATAGTTAGCGTACAGTACGATCCCTTCGCAGCACATGTCCCGATTGAACTAGAGGCATTGGTTCACCGAGACCTCTTATAAAGTTCAATAACCGTGCGAACGTTCTAGGTATTATAAATCCGTTTGTGTGTGACTTATGGAATCACATTTCCCTAATCACCCCACTATCAACTCTTGGCCAGAGATTCCTTGGATTATAAACCGTCAGAACACACAGGACATCCATGACTACTCAAGCGCTCGAATCCCCTACTACAATGCACAGACTTCACACTAGATTTCGGATTGCACGAACGTTGGCCCTTGGAGTGGTCCGCGGTGGGACTCAGGAACACGTCACGATACAATCGGTCCTCTAGTGAAGTCACGGTGATTTCTGGGTCTTAAGGACTAATGGTGTACAACTATATCTTAGAAACCTATTTCTCGATGAATGAGAACCACTTATAGATTTCTAGGGCGAGGGAGTTCAGTGAACTCATCCAGTATGAGCACCCACTCAAGTATGCCGATGTCACAACACCGAGGACTGATGAGACGCAGTACACATACACTAAGTGCTTGCATGGGATAACAGATATAGAATGCCAAATAAGATATTTTATTATTACGAACGAAAAACGATTGTTTTATTACAAGGATAAAGAGAAGGACCACAACCACAAGTTGGCTTGTTGGTCACCTACTCTAACAGAAATCGATGAATTGAGAGTAGAAGAGGGTAAAGTGATATCAAACCAAAGTACAAGGGGGTAAATCGATGCAATTGAGAGTACAAGGGGATAGAGTGATATCCAGCCAAAGTACAAGGGAGAAAGTGAAATTTACCATTTTTTTAATGAAAAAATATAAAAGTTTATTTTATTATTATTTTTTATACACACCCTCTTTTGTATTTGTTTTTTTATTCTTTAATTTCTTTTTTACTTTTTTTTTTATTTTTTTGAGTTTTTTTAATTTTTTAATTTTTTTAACTTTTTTAGTAATTTTTTTATTAATTTTCAAAAAATTAATTGTTTAATTTTTTTTGATAAATTTACTGTCCTGAATTGACTACACATGACTATAGTATACTACAGATAACTATAGTATACCACAGTCATGTATAGTTATATGTAATCATGTACTGTCTTTCTACCCCAAAATTAATTTACACCAACAACAAAATTCACAATTTTAATCTTGATATTAAAAATCAACTAAACCCAAAAGAAAAATGAAAAAACACAATAACATGCATATAATCTTCAACATTACACACATTACTATACATTAAAAAACACATAGCATACATATAAATATATGTTACTACATGTGACTATACTTATTTACAATTATCTATAATTATATATAGTTGCATAAGTCTAGAGTACTGTAGCATGAATGCAACTTCACATGGCACTTCTCCGCTTCTTATTCTTTGCGTTTAATAGTGTTATACAAAGCAAAACATGTGACAAAAAGAAAAGTTATAAAAAAAAAAAAAAAAAAAAAAAAGAACAAAATGGAACAAGCGAATTACATTACATGAAAAATACAAAAAAACAATGAAAAATATTTTTTTGATAAATTTACATTGGTGAACTATAGTCACAAGTAGTTATGTGCATTATTGTTACTACATGTGACTGTATATGACTACACATACATGACAACATGTGACTATATATGTATATAAATAAAATTCATCTACACCACCAAAAAGTTCACAATTGAATCTATATAAGATGATGAATAGAACAATGTGGTTGAAAAAAAAATATATTTACTTACTGTAGTGAAATTCTATCACATAAATCATTTGATTTGTTGTATGTTATTGAAACTGAATTAATGAGATGACAAATAAAATGAGATAATAAAAAGTGAGAATCAATGAGGTATGTATGCATATAATTTAGAATTGTAGGTATATATGGAGAGTAGAATTGTAATTATAAAAAAAAAAAATAAAAAAAAAATCTTATATATAAGTATAAATAACAATTTATATTACCAATATCAATTGAAAATACACAGTCGTGTGCATATGTTACTACATATAAATATAATCATGCATAGTAATGTTCAATAGTATAATCATCCTTTATTTATCTTTGTGTCCATCTCCATAGAATTTCACAAGGCCAGTCATCTCATCTTTGCAATGGAATTCCATGTAACTAGCAAAAGTTTTATTTATTGTACATTTTAAAAAATTATACTATTCATATAAAAACATAAATATTATTTAAAAAAAAAGACACCACATTTATTGGTTTGAAATAGAAGAGCAGAAAAAAAACACAACAGAAGAATTGAATGAGAGTAAATTAGGAGATATTAACAATTACTTGTTGACCTTGCTACCATTCCGAATCAATCATTCTACAGAAAGCCTTAAACGTGACATTTTTTCCTCTACTACTATGAAATCATGAATCGTATATTCATATAAAGAGGATGATATATGATATAGGAAAGAGTGGTTGCAAATTAATTTACCAGTGCGGTGGCGGCGGTGAGTGGTGGGCGACGGTGAGCGGCGGAGTGGCGGTGGGCGGCTGTAAGCAACGGACTTGCGGTGGGCGGCTGAGGGTATAGAGAAATGGAAGAGGTGTGACGGCGGAGATTGCGTAGGTGATGGGGAAGCGGCTGTGCGAGGCGAGAGAGAGAGAGAAGAGAACGATAGTTTTGAGACAGAAGAGAAAACAACGGTGAGAGGAGAGAGAGAAGAGAACGAGAGTTTGGAGAGAGAGAAGAGAAATCGGCGTGGGAGGAGGGAGAGAGAAGAGAACGGGAGTTGTGAGAGAGGGTTAGAGTTATAAATTATAACTAAAAGGACTACTTCAGTTTGTCCAGAGTCTGACAAATTAAGATTAAAATTTGAGTTTTTGATTAGAAAATAATAATCCATAGAATCTATACTTATATATTTTCAAAACTAGAGATATCCCACATTTATATTAGATTTCGCCATTTCGGACAAATGCACCCGAAATGCTTAAATTTTGTTTTTTTTTTTCTTTATAATATATTTTTATTTGAATGTATTTAGAGGGAGATAATATCTTGTTTCTTTTTTTTTTAGATTTAACAAAAATTACGGGGAAAAAACAACTAGAATATAAAAATTGCCATTTCTAGCTGAAACAACATAAAAAAAAATTCCGAAACCACCCTTAGAGAATATATTGGCGATGCTTCCTTGCATATCTAGGCCCTTGGTAAGGTCGAACACAACACCGCCATTTTTCCACTCTCAAAAAAAATTCAGCAATTTATTCAGTCATTCGAAAAACCCATCTTCTTCTTCTTCTTCTTCATTGGCAATAATAGATAGCAACAACAGAATGGCAGAGATTGAATCCAACACCTCGGTTACTGTACAAGAATGGCAGGGTTGGGGCTCGATTTCTCCTGTGCCCTCCATCGTTAATCAAGTCATTCTCGATTTGAATCTCTTGGAAAAAGAGATTGTTTCTCCCATGACCTTCGGTAGCAACCACGGAAAACTCTCGGTGAACAAAAATTCTATTTCCTTTTTTTTTTTTTTGTTTAATTTTATTTAGAATTGATTGTTCTGAAATGTTAGTTTCATGTTTCGTATTTAATAATCGAACTCTTTTTATGGGGGAAAGAGTGGCCAAGAGGAATTTAGGTATTTCAGTATCAATGTGCAATGAAAACATATATTTCAAATCCAGTATGAATTGCTGTCTGTATGTATTAAGTCTTTCGTTATGGCTTTTAACTTCACTGCAGCAATGCAAATAATACGATACGACAAAGTGTGGTCGATTAATATAGATTACTACGACTCCACGTTCATGGGGAAAAAGGTGTGCTTATAATGCATTAACTTGTTATTCTCTTACAGGGAGAGTTCAAGGTGTATGAAGATAAGAAGCATAGGGCAAAGTATGCTTGTTTATCTAATTCCGAAGAAAAACTCCAATTCTTTTCAGCTCGACAAATAGCCTGTCGATTACTTGGCAGCAGGGGTTATCTCTGCCAAAAGGTACATTCAATTTATTATATATTTTGATACTCGTTATTTATCTCGGTATACATTTTCTTTGTGTAACTAATTGTTATACTTATGTGTACCTATGCGTAGTGCTGGCTTCCCTTGGAAGATTGCATGTGTTCAAGAGTTACAGTGTGTCCCCTTTGGCATGGAGTGCGTATCTGGTTATATATGCATCCAAAGGTTTGTCTTTCTTTTTTATTACTTAATTTTCGTTATAGTTTTTGAGAAAATATTTCTCGTGCAAAAATGCATTGAAAGGTTAACGGGACTCACTTTGGGAGACCATATTCGTCTACTTGTTTGCTGTCGGTCTTTTTGGAAAATAAGGCTGTCGTATGAAATGTTTTGAGAAACCATCCGAAACTGCTTTTCTCATTTAGAACACAAACTCGTTGGAGCAGAGTGACACTAAACTCAGTTTTACGCCTTGTCTAATTTTTTCATGTTTTGAATTATGTGACAATTTGATGATGAGCCAAACTAAACGAGACATGACCCATATCTTGACAGGATTTTTTAAGACAAAACAATACGGGGAAGTTATTATGGCAAGTTTTTGGGGTTGAAGCTGCAAGTTTGTGTCTCTATGGAATAGCTGAGCATGAGAATATGATGTGGAATGAATTGAATCAGGCAGGTAATTAAATTTTCCACTACAACACTTGTGTCTAAATGTTTTACGCAACTGTTGTTTTGAGTTTGCTACGAGTAGTACGCGTGATCAATATGAATAAATGAAATTTCACCTATTTCTTATCTTTTGAACTTCATTGCGGGTTTTTGGTCTTGACATTGTAATGCTATATTTTTTTTCTTATTAATTTTAAAGTATCATAAGTTTTCTGAATATCATCTTCACCAGAAAACAATCCATTTATTGCCTTCTTTAGAGGAACGTGAGTAAAGTGAACTTTAGTGAATCTTTATTTTCTGAATATCGGTTTTTATTTTTTATTTTTACGGACATGTGATTACAGTTAACACTATTTTCAGGTAGAAACAAGGTTTGGTGCCTTTATCCAAATAAGAATGCAGAGACTGAATCTGTGAAAGATAGTGTTGGCTGCTCAGAAAATCTACGGAGGCTAGCGGCACCGGTAACTATTTTCTTTTTTTTAATTTTACAAAATTTGTGTAAGTTGTAGTATAACATTGATCTTGTTGCCATTATATTTTATTTGTCTCGTACCGTTGTCCTTTGTGGTGATTTAGGCCATTCTGAAGTTTGACTATGACTCTGCCTTAACAAGAAAAGAAGTGCAGCTCATAACTATTCCTCCCTGCTTGCTTTACTTCTTTTCTCATTTTTCCTCCTTATATATTCCCTCTTGTTATTTTCTATCTTTTTGGTCATATTTATTTATTTCTTCTTTGTCATGTGTGTGTGTGTGTGTGTGTGTATATATATATATCTAATTATATGTGTGTTTAATCTTTGCTTATGAAATCAGTTATAAATTTTCAACATCTGGATGCATGCCGAATAGTTCTATTGAAATTCATGAGATACACTAACATTAAAAAGATGATTTGACTTGATGGTAAGTAGCCGGAAATTCTGTTCTGGTTTGTCTCTTTTGCAAATGATCCCCCTACATGGTATTAAGGGTTAGCTACGTTATTTTTTCATTCAAAATTAATCGTGCATTTGATCTTACAAATGTTAGTCATAAATACAATTTGATCTTACATTTGAAATTAAGAATTATTGTAGTAAATTTGGAATTCTAATTTTTAATCAGAATTAAATGAAGGCACGAGTTATGGATGAAGCTCTTTTAAGCTATACTAACCTTTAAAGGCAAATCCGGAAGGCTTCTTTCTGCGTTCTCTTTAATGTCAACTATGCGTGTGCAGCCTGTTATTCTCGTTATTTGCTAATTTTTTTTGCATATTATTATTACACAGGGAAATAAATACGACACCATGCACTTTATTTTGATTGATGGTACTTGGAGCAATTCAGGTGCAATGTTCAGACGTTTGCAGGTGCGAGATAATAAACAGTTTATTATCCTATCCCTATCTTTTATTAGTGTTTCTTACGTAGTAGTATGCCTGCATGCATTCATCACATTGACGTAAAAAATGCATATAATTAAATACAGGACCGAGCTAAATCAGAATGGGGGAAGGAACTTGGTTGCATATCTCTCAACACAGGTGCATCTTTGATGCATAAACTGCGGTATACAATTCAATTCTCTTCAAACTCATCATTCTTAAGCTTACGTTTCTGTTTAGATTAAAAATTGAAGAATTGATTGAAGTATTAGTGTATGTGATTTGGTGTTTGAGGTCAGACCACAACCATCGTGGGACCGTACATGTACAGCAGCTGCAGCAATAGGGCTACTCTATGAACTCCAACTTATTACAGAGTTAAGTTCATTCGGATTGGACAAACAGGCTGAAGCTATAGAAAACGCATTGGAAGTTTTATTGGAAGCTCTTACTGCTCGAAGGCTCCGTATGGGCAGATCCGTTTCTCGTAGGGAAAGACACAGCACAGATATTTGCTGACCTCTCCAGAGAGAGAGACAGAGAGAGAATGAATATACAATCGTTTCAAACCTCCAGAGACAGATTTTGTTATCTTTCGAATAGTGGCTTCTTATTTTGGCTCCAACAAAGATATAATTACGTCTTCGCCACTGGTAAAGAGCATAGAGTATGGTGCATTTAGGCAGAGGATTTTTTTTGATTATTTAGTGACTGATTTATGGCAAATGATTTGATTCTCCATTAGAGATAGATAATCCTCTCAGCAGTTAGTTACCCTTTGTGGCAGCAGTGAACAGATAGATAATCAAGTGTGCTTATGGAAAAATGTCAAGTAATGAATGTTAAATCAATTGAAGTTGCTTTGATGGATTTTGATATAGTTATAAGGGTAAATTGCACCTAGATCCCTGAGGTATGTTAAAATAACTTTTAAGGTCCCTATAGTATCGGTAAATACAATCACCCTTCTAAAACAGTGTTAGAAAGCCTAATGGAATAATGTATTAAATAAGTTATTCAGTTAGGGTTCTAAAGTACTATTAGTTTCAGGCAGTGGTGGATGCAATATAGAGCTAAGGGATGACATGGTTCTCCTAACATTTCTTAAGACATTATTTCATATAAGATTTATAAATTTTTGTCTATGGTAGCATTAACGGTCCGTGGGAAATAAATATAGTGCATATTGGTCTCTAAGATATGAAATCTTGGCTCCGGTAATTACTTCAGGGATGTGGCCGTAATTACCAATATCACAAAAACTTTAAAGTTATTCTAATATAGATGGTGTTAAGTGTAATTTACCCTAGTTATAAAGTTGTAAATAAACCTAGATCTACTTCAATTTAAAATTATCATCATGAGCGATACATAGTAATGATTGTGAGTTTGAAGTTTTTATAAGTTTCATTAAGATGGATTATAATACATAACTTATATTTGTAAAAGATAAGGTAAATTACGGTCACTCCTGAGATAAGGTTAATTATGAAAAACACATTTATGTTTGGGTAATTACAATTTGTCCATAAACTATAAATCTTCTTACACGTCCATTATTTTGTGTCAAATTTAGTGGAATTTTCTAGATTATGTGATATATTCTCCAGTTTGTACCTATTTCATCCCATTCAAGCTCCACATTTTGAAACAAGTTGATCATAAGATGTGTTTACTGACTTGTAAAATATCATATTGTAGTGTATCATAATCTGCATTTTTACACAAAACGAGTACAAACTAAAGAACATTTCACAAAATCTAGAAGATTGTGTTGAATTTGACGCTAAAAGAGTGAACATGTAAAAAGATTCATAGTTGATGGGTTGTTACCTAAATATAATGAGTTTTTCGTAATCTAACTTACCTTGGGTGTGGCCGTAACTTAGGCAAACATATAATAAAGATTTGCATTTTATTATTGGCTTAGGAACCCTCAACTAACAAATTAATTATTACTATATTAGGGAAGACCAGTTTAGTAATCAAAGGATCAAAAGGTCCATTTGACATCCCCTGTATTTATACCGTACTTGTTCCGCTTTTTTCTCCCTCCCAGAAAATCAAATACAACCAAAATTGAAATAGAAAACATAACAAACAATTAAAAAAAGAAAAAGAAAAACATAAATAAATACCAATCCCCTGTAGATTAAAAACTAAAGGGTTGGTTCGAAAGTTCTGAACAAGAAAAATATTTATTGAAGCAATTCTTGCAAAGGAAGAAGGAATACAATTATTATGGGATCAAAACGATCCTTGTTGCATTTGTTTCTTTTCTTCCTGGTCGTTGGCTTCGCATCCTCATCCTACATCTCAAGTATCTCTCTCTCTCTCTCTCTCTCTCTCTCTCTCTCTCTCTCTCTCTCTCTCTCTCTCTCTATATATATATATATATATATATATATATATATATATATATATATATATATATATATATATATATATATTGCACGAATACTTCAACTTTTTAACTGTTTTTGCATTTCGGACGCGAAACTCACAGGTACTTACCGGAATTTCTTTGCGACATTTTTTTGTAATTTCCAAAAACAAAAATAATTAGTTTTAGTAGGAAATGTCCAAATAATTTCGATTAATTCCCTTAATGATTTGACAATCAATTAATAGTTGATACTAATATTTCTTTGAGAAATTTCAAAAACAACATATGAAAAAAAATACAATTTATCGATTAATAAAACCATATATTCATTTTGGTAATTCCCATACGTACCTCAATATTTGAAATATTTACATATTTTCTCCGCATTTTTGTGTCCTATATATTTCTTTGAGATATGCCGTTTCTCCATGCTCGTATACATGTTTCACCGTCTCCGCTTTCTCATGTATGTGCATAGAGGGAGGGGCCTTGGCCCCTCCCATACTTTTCTCCTAGTTATTACTAATATGTTCTCTTAATTATATATTTATTGTAATACAATGTATTAGCCCACCTCTTTTAATTTTCAACTTAATTAGTTTTACATCCAATTCGATTATGTTTTTTCTCATTGTTTCTGTTACAGATGAGGTGATTGAGCCGCATGGATCGTTAGGTCGTTCCCTCCTGCAGCAGAAATCAAGTAAGCCCTTTCTGGATTAATAGCTCAGGCGAGCAATTTTATATTTCTCGACTCCTAACAATCTTTATACTGCAAAAACAAAACAAAAAAAAATGATCAGGTTGCAGTGTGGACTTTGAGAACATGAACTACACGGTGATAACAAGCCAGTGCAAAGGGCCAAATTACTCACCGGAAAGGTGTTGCCCACCATTAAAGCAACTTCTCTGCCCTGTAAAAGATCAAGTTAATGACCTCAAGAGCAATTGCGCCGATACATTTTTCAGTTACGTAAATCTCTACGGTAAATATCCGCCCGGCCTTTTTTCAGCTCTGTGCAAGGAAGGTGAAGAAGGTCTCGACTGCGACGATGTTCCTCTACCACCCCCTCCCGTTCACCAAGTTGGGGCTTCTCCTCTTAGTCTTCGTGCTCAACCGATGCTGCTCTTCTTTCTTGGACTGCTATTATTGCACATTTGACGATTATTATTATATTTCTTTTGAATTTTTTTAGTTTTTCAAATCTTTGAATCCAAATAAAATATATGTATGTATGTCTTATTCTTTTATTGAATGAACCACCCATGTATACCACACGTGTTTTTCCGACTTGAATTTCACTTCGCCTCTGCATTTCTTTGTCCAAGTTTCAATAACGTTTTTGTTAATTACAGTTAAACCTCTTTTAAATTAGAATAATCTTAAAATACGAGTTATTATTAGGCACTCACGGTTAAAGAAAGACGAGAGGAAAGACCCTTCCATATAGTAAAAGATAGACAAAGATGCTTAATCATGAGCGAAAAAGAGTAAAAAGTAAAATAAAAAGAAAAAGAAAAAGAAAAACGCATATTCTTCCAAAATAGCTCCGGGACACCTGGACAGATAAAAGATATGGCAAAAAATATCTTAGTTAAAGCAAAAGCGAAAAAGGAGACGAAGATAGGCAGAAGGTACATTCATTCATGGTGTTTTGTTTGTCCCTCATTTTGAGCAAAAAAAATTGCATTGAGCATTGGCATAGGTATTCTATTCTATTCATTTTGAGTCAAGTTGTAGCGTTCGAATCTCTTTGAATAATATGGCGTTCGATTCTTGGTTCTCGCATATAATACTCGAACATTAAATTCTCAAGAATTTGAATTGAGAAACATTAAGGAGAGTTATTTCCAAAACACAACAATACAAATACCGTTCTATTTATTTTTACACATCATTACATTTCTTTTTTTCTACACAATCAATTAGCCTCCTAATAATCAGGATGGTTTTAATGAAAATAATAATAATAATAATAATATTATCTATGAGCAGTGACCAGTGTCTCTATGAACCTCAATCCATCAAACCTCGGCGCAAATTTATCCGACGACAATCCCTGCGACGCTGAATTCTCGTTTGTTTTCCGGCTACAATCATCCTAATATAATTCAATCAGAAAAACAAATAAGATAACCCATTCATTCATTTTATATATTGAAATAAAGATCAACTGTGGGTCTACCAAAACAAACCTTTTACTAAAACTTATAAATTAAATATAAAAAAGTCAAGAACGAAAATTGGAAAAAAAAAAAAAAAAAAAAAGGGAAAAGATTGGGATTTGGATTAATAATAATAAATACCTGTCGAGGAAACTGAATTTTGGAAGAAGAAGAAGAGATGGCAGATGCGGAAGCTGCGGCGACAGAGGCTGCTACCAGTCCCGTTTTCTTCATATCTTTGCTCGCTGTGACTCTCTCTCTCTCTCTCTCTCTCTCTCTAGATAAATGAAAATGAAAAAATAAATAAAAATATAATTTGGTGATGTTTGTTCTGAATTCTGATAGACGAAAGGAAGGGGATTTAATTTATAGTGGTGAATTGGTGGTGGTGGTGGAGTAGAGAGGGAAGTTGGGGAGGTCAGGGTGGGGTACTATTATTTACTACTTTCTTATTAGTTATTAGTATTGTGTTGGTCGGTCAATTTCTTATTCGAATATATACGCGCCAATTATTATTGCATCTTTCCTCCACTTTGCTCACCCATATTCCATTCCTACCCTTGCCTTCGAATATTATTATTACTTCAATGTTTGTTTATTTATTTGGCATGGATGCATTCATATACAGATACTACCACTAGTTGTTAGATCATTATTCTTCACATTCTCTTATTAACTTATTATCATCAACTTCTTCCATGTAAATACAATCCATTTAATCTAGGGGCTGTTCGACAAAATACCCCACATTCAATTTTGACTTAATGATAAATTTATTTTCTTAAATAATATTTATTATAAACTTAATTGACTCGAATTATCTAAAATGCCCCTATTTAATATTACTGAAAATTACAATATTATATTATTACAGAAAATTATTTAACTTTTTTTTAAATAGGCAAATCCCCTAATTTCTCCCTATCTCACGCGATTTTAGTTTCTGTTTTTCCTTTTCCTTTTTATTTTCTTTCAATTTTTTAAACGCTTCATATTTAAAAGAATTTGAAATCCACTACATACTCATCGAAAACAACTATAAATTTATCAAAAACCACTATGGAATTGAAGTAAAAATTACTGTAAAGTTAAGATGATCCACATTAATATTAATGTAATCCACTACAAACTTATTGAAATCTACACAATTCACTACGAATTAACGTAATCCACTAAAAATACACATAAAAACGAAATCCACTATCTTGACCCTAAATCGTCTTCCATCTCCCATGGCCACCGACGTCTCCCCGAAATATCAGAAAACATAGCTCATCGAAAATATGAAAAACACTACACAGCCGTCGAAATTGAAATCCACTATATACTCATTCAAAATCACTATATAATTATCGAAAATCACTATGCAATTAACGCAAACCACTATCGAAAATACTAAACATGTGCATATTCCACTATGAATTAATGCAATTCACTACTAATTACAACTAAAAATAACAAAAAAGAAGTTAATCCACTTTTGATTCCTAGTTCGCGAAATCCGAAAGCCTCCTTTCAGCAATTTCATCAAAAAAATCATCAAGAACAAAAACATTGCCAAAACTAAAAGAACAAAAATCAGCCGTTAAAATAATAACAATTATCAAATTAATTAAATTCAACTAGTGAAAACGAGCCAAAAATCAAAATATGGAAAAAGAAATTCAAGCAATACACATATCATCACACAAATAATATTTCGAATCTCAAAAGAAAAAAGATATACTAATCAATAAGAATTTTATGAAAATCAATTGTAGTTTATCGCACAAATCAGATGAAAATACAAACCAATTACAATCCGATTCAGTTCTTCTTTTGCGATGTTGCGCGGAAACCCTAGCATGAGTTTCAACGAAGCAGCCGCGCACCGTCGTGCTTCTCTTACGCGCCTTGTGCTGCTCTGTTTCAACCGAAAACACATAAAGAAAAAAAGATTGGCAGTGTCGGCGGTGAAATAAAAAAGAAAATAAAAGAACAGAGGAGAGAATTTTAGCAGTGAAAGAAAAAGAAAAGAAAAAAATAGAGGGGGAGAATTTTAATGAAGAGGAAAAAAAACGACGAATGTTGGGAGAGATGTGGAGAAGAAAAGAAAAGATTGAAAACGTGAGTTATAGGGTTAGATGAAGGGTATAATAGTGAATAAATTTATTTATGATCAATTAAATATTATTTTGGAATTATCTTAAAAAAACAGAAATAATTTGGACCTCTCTTATACGAGGAGAATTTGTCAAATGATCCCTTTTTTAATTTATTATAGTGTGTCATTTCATGAAATGTTTATAATCTCAACTAGGGGTGGAAATCGGAACGAAATTTCCGATTTCCGCCGGTTCCGATCCGAATATTTCCGATTTTGGAACCATTTTTTGTGATCCGATTTCCGAAATTCCAATTTCCGATTTTTCCGAAAAAAATCGGATCGGAATCGGAATTGTATATAAAATATTTGGAAATTCCGAATTCCAATCCGAAAATAATTCCGAAATTTCCGAAAGTATTTCCGAATAATTCCGAAAATTTCCGAAAATTATTACTATTTATTAATTATTATAAATTTGAAGTTACATTTTTCTTATTAAAAAATATGCTACATCAGCTCATCAACACCTTAGGGCCACACTAACAAAAGCCCAAACCCAATTTCTTCCTACGTGAATTCTAAACCCTAATAGCCTAACTCTCTCTCTCTCTCTCTCTCTCTCTCTCTCTCTCTCTCTCTCTCTCTCTCTCTCTCTCCCCTCACACCAGCCACTCTCTCCATCTGCAATTTCTCATTTCTTCCACCACCAGCCATTCTTTTCTCTGTATAGAATCTCTTATCTCTTCCACTAGCCCCGCCTCTTGTTCTCTCCGCCGAGCACCGCCTGAGCAGCCCCTCTTTCTCTACGCGCGTAGCACCGCCAGCGCTGCCCCTCGTTCTCTCCGGCAGCATAGCCAGCGCCGCCCCTATTTCTCTATGCCGACCAACACCTAAACCGCCCCTCCTTCGCTCTGGCATGACCAGCGCCTCAGCCCTGTCGCCGCCCCTCATTCTATCTTTGAAAACCGTCGAAAAATCCAAAAAATGAATAATTCCGAAATATTCCGATTTTCCGAAATTTCCGAAAAATCGGAATCGGAATCAGTTCTTGAATTCCGAAAAAATCGGAATCGGATTCGGAATCGATTTTGTGGTTCCGAAAAAAATCGGAAATTTTCCGAAAGGACCGTATCCGATCCGATCCGTCCGATCTCCACCCCTAATCTCAACATCATATTCATAATTTAAAATATGTGCTTTCCTTATAATAATAAAAAAAAAAAAAAGATGTGAATTTCTCAATTATCATTAAGACTTTAACAACTTTCTCTTATTTTTATTGTACTAATAACACTTATAGAATTGTTGCTATTAAGAGATCTTAGGGCATTTGGATGGATGGATTTGGAGGAATTATTTTAAATTCATAACAACAAATCCTTGTACTTGTTTCGGTTGAGGGATTTATGGATGAATTTAAAATCCCACCCTTCCATTTTAGTTGTTTTTGAAGCAATTGAAGTAGATTTTAGATGAATCCAAATTTAAAGAATATCAAACTCTTCCGTCAAATCTTTTCCTCAAATTAAATCCTTCCATCAAAATGGACCTTATAAAATTGTTTTAAATAAACTTTAGCCAAACACTTCTTCCCTTCATAAGACTTGGTGCTTCTTTGATTGTCAAGTTGAGATTATACAATCTTATCAAAACCAAATTATACCATTGGAGTATGAATTTTTTCTATAATTAGGAATTGGCATAAAAGTTATTGGACAAAAATAAGGTCCAACTATCTAATTAAGAGTGTTCTTAGTTTCACCAAATAATTTCTCAATCTATCACCATACTTTTTATTTTAAAATTTATCTTATTGAAAATGTATATTGTATTCATACATTTAAAAGTTCTTCATTCTTCCTTCTTCTTGATCTACCGATACCGGTATTCTTTACTCTCTACATCTCTTTTACTCCCTATTCAGATTTGGAAATAGAGGCAGCATAACGCATATGAGGATTTATTTTTATAGAAACATAAATTGCATTAGTGATGTAATTCTAAGTTTATAATGTCCGTAACATGATCTGCGAGAACAATGTTAAAGTTTAATAGTAAATGACCCACTAACTTCGTTTGTTTTTAATGTTGAAACTCTTTAATTAAGGAGTTATAGAGTGTTCATTTAACACATAAATTATTTTTTAGGGACTATTAGTGAGAACCATCTCTAGCATTATTTTAATGAGGATGGATTCAGCTGCTTCTCATTTATTAGTGAGAGACCCATCCTTTTTTTATTCTCAAATTTACCATTCATCTATTCACTACCTATTATACACTATTTTGATGCACTTTTTATTTTTTGTATTTTAATTTTAATTTTAATTTATTTATTTATTTCTTATTTAAAATATAATATTTAAAAAAATATTTTTTAACTTTTTATTATATTTTAAAAAACAATTATATTTCAATAAAACAACTATTACTAAAACAACTATTATTAAAACAATTATGATTAAAACAACTATGTATCTCCAGCAACTCTCATTTATCAAAACAAACTATTTGTTAAATCAACTATTAAAATCAACTAAAAAGTAATAAAAACAACTATATTGCTGCACGAAAACAACTATACTGTTGTAAGAAAACAACTATATTGCTGTACGATAAAATCTATAAATCTGTAAATTACACCGTACAATTTCAACAAAAATAAACATTCATTATTATATTATTGATTGAACACAAAATTAGCCTTCAATATAAGAATTCAACCAAAAACTCCAATCAAGAAAATTAAGATTCGAGAATTGGGTTAAAAAAAAAATCAAAGAAGAACAACAACAACAATAATGAATGAAATTGGAGCATATTAAATTATGCTCCAAAAAAAAGTCAAAATTGAATTTTTGCGGTCAAAATTGGATTTTTGTGGACAAAATTGATTAAATTGGGGTTACAATTAAGAATTGGGTATAAATGGTTGAGGGTAATATTGGCATATGCATGAATGTTTCATTTATTTATAATAAATATTAAAGGGATGAACTTATTGGTGAAAGAGATATAACCCCTAAACCTAGAATAATAAACATGTTTGGTTGGAGACTTATGCACAAAACCCCGATACACAGAAACCGGGTACGACCCATAACTTATTTTGTACTTCTTCAAGCCGGTAATAAATGTTGGGTGTGTCTTCTGCGACCACGTATTTTATTTTTTTTGTTTATTTTTTTTATAATATATATTGACCCACTAAAGTTAACTTGTAAGGATTTTAGCAAAATACAAAAAAGGGTTATTCTCAAAAAGGCCCATAACAAAGGCACTTAATTAAAAGAGGGACATCCAACTTTTTTGTCTTTCAAATAAATCCAGCTCATTCA